TCTGCGGCACCTCAGTAAATGAATGTTTGAATGAGCCCTTAGGAGTTAGGAATATGTAGCTGGATTTTAGAATGGGACTCCCCTCCACCACTTTTTACATTGGGGCATAGTGCTCTCGCATTACAGTGAGACTCATAAGACTTCCTCAAAATTAGTTGGGGTTGTAAAGAGGGTACTGCTTATGCTGGTCCTGAAATTATAGCTCTCTGTAGTGGAGCTAGACCAGGTATAAGCACCAATTGATATGTCAGGTCTGTGTGATTTGCAGAGATGAGAGTCATTGGAAGAGCCACTTGCTTTATTTGTTTATTCGCCTTGCAATGAATATGTTCAGGGAAAGGTTGGTTTACACACATACATTATTTGAATCTTCATCACTTGATGGACTTCTGCTGAATGTGGGAACTGATTTTATTGAAAAGCAACATAAGGACGTCACTGGAGATATGGAAGCTTCCTTTGTGGAATTTGATCTATGAGCATTTATTCAGATAAGGAGGCATCAAGTTAATGCTGAGGTCAAATGATGAATTTGTGAACTGGTCCAATAGTGTAGGGGCAAGAAAGGCCTGTAAGACCAAACTTAAGAAACCAAGCAACGTTCCTAAGCCCAGCAGTGCTCCTTGAGGTATTAGTGTTTAGCCAGAGCAGTCTTATCACACCAACAGCAAGTAGTCAGCGGCTTTTACAGATTTATTCTCAACTGTTGATAGTTAAAAGTCCACATCACAATGTTGCTACTCCTCATGCATCTGAATACATTCGATTGGTGTCATAAGAGGTATGAAAACTCTGACACCAGTTCTACTTTTTCTGAGCTACTGATGTGATGGGATGATCCTCCTAGCTGATGTTCAAATCTGTCAGCCCCCTACTCCCCAGTTCCATGATCAGTTCAGGGTAAAGGAAGGCATGAACATTCAGACAGCTGGTCATCCTGGTTTCATAACCGGCAGTGTGATTGAGCAGTATGCTAGTGCACGTAGCCCATTTGCACTGCACTTTGCTCCTCTGTTTGCAGGAGCAGGAAAATAAACCCAAAGGGGAAAGTTGCATGTGACATCTGAACTCAGAATTAGAGTTAAGTGCTCTTAACTCTAGCCAGGTTTCGTAAGCCCACAAACCCTGGTTTAAAGCTGTTTTAGCAACTTATGTATTAAAAGTCTTTCTATCCCATCCCCTTCAGATGTCTCGGGATGGCTTACAATGAATAAGTAGAATAAAAGAAACCCCAGAGCATCTGACCATTAACATACTAAAACCCCAGTTAAAATCAATTAAACATTAAAATAGTGGGAAAATAAAAAGGGTCTTGCCTGGCACCAAAAAGAATATAACATATACCTATATACATAAAATAATATCTTGACATATTAAGACTGCTTACCATAATCCCAGGTTTGGATGATACATGAAAATTGTTTATCCACTTAAGCTAAAGGAGGAGCAAAGCCCAAGTGAATCAGCTGTGCAAATTGCACACCCACCTTATTCACATCATGCTTTATTAACCCAGGATTACCGGTTTATCATTACGTATCAATTGTGGTTGGGGAATACCGAGAACTGTAGGTCTTTTACCTGTGCAAACGTGTGTAAGATTGTAGCTTGGTGCATTTTTTCCAGTCCTGGAGGGAAATACAGAGGTTTTCCATATGATTTTAGACTCAACTTGGAAAAGCCAGTTCTGCCTTATAATTTTGATTGTGTTTCAGATGTAGTGAACAACAGCTGGTCAATTCTGCTATCGCCTTCACACACCTCATCCCTGCTCAAAGAAGCCTTTTTAATTTAATGTAGGGGACAAGCATACATATACGTAAGTGCTAGTGTGCATCTTTTTAAAAAATCAAAAATTAAAATTGAAGAGCTTGCCTGCCATACTCAGAAAGAAGAGAGAACAAGGCTAATGCCTTCACTTGTGTGTACTAGCAAAGGTGAAGCCAGGTTCACACAGTGGAAGAAGAACCCTCTGTGACTGAGCGAATGAAATCTCATGCATACTTCCCTGGGATTAAGCATCACCTGACACAATGGAACTTACTTCAGAGTAAACATTCTTAGAATTGTTCTGTCTGTTTCACCAGCAGGTGTTTTTCCTATCCCTTCTCTTATCATTATTTCTATGCCACTGCTGCTCTGAGGTGAGCCATCTCTGTTCTCTGTTAAATGTCCTCCTCTCATGCTGTCTTTATTCTCTCTTTCCTGCCAGATCAAGTTGTAAGCTTTGATCACACAAGAAATGCTTCTTTGCCATAACCTGCAGTCTTCCCTGGAGAGAACAGCAGAAGAGAGATGATTAAAGCATGAACAAAATCAAGGCTCTCAGAACAAGCCCTATTAGGCTGGATGAGGACCAGGTAAGATGGTGAAAATACCTTGAGTACCTTATTCAGGTGTATTGGAGATGGTCCACATTGTTTTACTTTTTAGTCCACAACAGTGACTGTAATCCCCAAAGCCTGTAATTCATAGATATCATCTTTTAAAATGGTTTTGTTCAGATACAAGTGTTGTGGTGCAAAATATATGTACACCAGAAACAGCCATCTTGGCAGAGTGTTATAGCATGCAAGAAACGCGGTTTAGATCTGGTTTGCTCATGATGAAGGTCACTGAGTGGTTTTTGCTTAGATAAATAATCGGCAGTGCTCACACATGGCCCTCTTCTGGCATTATCAGATCCTGTCTGTGGAAAGCAGATGAGAAATGTCTATAATGAGACAGCAACTGCATTCTATGGAGAAGATTTGCTACCACCTGAAGAGGGCTTACAAATGAGCAATATGCTGGTGCATTATGCTTAACCCTTTCAATGGCTGGTAAACTAACCTGAAAGTGATAGTTTATTGAGATATCCAAGCATCTAAACAAGCCAGAAATTTTTGTTTTGTTAAACTATCTTTTAATTGTTATAAACCATCCAGACAGCCATGTGGCTATTGTGATGGTCTGTAAAAGTTTGAAGCAAACAAATAAGATTTTTAAGCCGACAAGACACCAATGCTAAAGCAGTCTTCCAGTTCTGGCTTGTTTGGGAGCAAAAAACATACTGGTCTATTGATATATGTGTGAATTTAGGTATTCTCTGATTTACCTTACGAAGATATTTTAATGATAAAAACAAAATCATGCTCTCCATGAGCTTCCTGGGATAGTTATAGAATAGCAATATGTTAAGTGGAAGCACATTCATGTACTGCTTCTTCCTTCATCCTTTAAAATGCTTAATGAAAGTGGCTATTAGGAGAGGAATTGGTCTTGTTCCTATGTATTTTAAATTGACAAATGGCAATCAAAACATACACACTCCATTCAGAATGGATGTACAGTGTATATATTTTGTACTTTGAGTGACTGGTTCCAAAACTTCGCACATCAGGGCCCTCCCAGATTTGTGCCAAGTTTCTGCTCCCTGGTATCTAGTTGATGGTATGCCATTAAACAGGATGAATGTTACTTAAACCATCTGTTATGTGCACATTTCCCAAGTTATATATACATTACTGTGATTGCCAGGAAGTCAAGCTTGTCAATTCACATTAACTATCAGCAGTAGGATATTGTCAGCCTGATGACAATAAACTATTGGTCTGTCTCGCCACCACCTAAAGGCAGAGAGAAATAGTTTTTAATTTGTAACTTTTCTGTGTTCTTCTACTGCTGCATCTGTAATTTTTCTAACCAGAAACAAACTATTGCAGAGGAAAAGATGGAGTAGTGCAGAACTGGTAGGGCTAAGAAGCACGTTTAGTCTCTTTTCTGTGCTTCTTGCACAAGGGCGTGCTGTCACTCATGCCTCCTCCTAACTGAGAAACTATGATTCAGTTCAGGCTGTTATAAGCTCTGTCTGGGTTATGAAAGCTGTGCCAGTCTTAGAATACTTTAAGGGAGTGCAACTCCCTCCTGCTGCACCCAAAAATAAAAATTAAAAAAAAAATCTTGAGATTTGGGTTTTAGTGAGATGCTAAGAATTCTGTCTTACAGCTCTCTCCCACTTGCATGCCAGAAAATGCTAATTCCCTGAGCCTGAAATGACACTGTGACCAATGGGGCATTTATGCCTCTGTCAATTCTCTTGTGTAAGCGTGACACTTGTGTGACACTACCAGCACAATATGAATTTAGCAATTCTGGTTCGGCAACTGGCAGTGCTTATCTTTGGAAGGATGCAGGTTGGTAGAGCTCCCATAATGGAGTTCAACATGGGACTTTCCCTAGGAAGACTTCTCTCCCTTGTATATGCAGCAGGCCCCACTTGTGAAATGGAATTGGTAGGACCCACTGCTTTGGAAGGGGATTCTCAAGAAGAAATGAACTGACTGGAGTGAAAGCTTCTCATTGTGTTCATCTGATTGAAATCTGTGTAAATCTAAACTGTGGTCATGCCTTGAGTGTTACATCAATCAGTACATGTTTTAAAGTCATCATTTATTTAGTTCTCACAGTTTTTTGTTCATAGTGAAAATAATAGTCTTGAGACCAGCTGAACTACCAGAGGAAGGTTCCTGGACCTTGACAAAGAGCTATATATTGTAGTTTTGAAAAGCTTTCACTGAAACTATTTTTAATGCTGCCTTGGTAAGATGTTTCATTGTTAGACTTAGCCCAAAACCAGGCAGGACAGTAGCAAATGTGCGCCTTTGAGGGCAGAGCTTGCCAAACACTTATAAAGTGTCAGGTGGGTTGAGGTTCAAATTTGGGTACTTTTGTGATCACTGGAAGCACACTTTATGTTTTCGCCATTGGTCTGAGAGCCATGTCTCTTCCATCAGCACCTTTCTCTTCTTTGCATTATCAGGTTTCTCCCCTGTGTGTGGACCCACAGTGATGACTCTGGAGATGTAACTGTTCTTTTACGTGAGTACCCAGAGAGCAGAACCCTGCTGTCTGCGGCCTGGACTTCTGAACGCCATCTGAGCAGTCTGGCAACTCCTTCATGCTCTTGCCCTCTCCTTTCCAAAAACATCAGTCTGCTAAATCATCCATGTCAATTTGCTATGACATACATCAATGTTGATGAGAGACAGGAACACTGTCGGGTAATTCTGAGCTGCCAGAATAATCAGCTGTATACCCAACATGGCTTAAAGGAGTTCTCAATTAGCAACATGCATCCGCTGAAGAACTTAGACCCTCATGTTTTTACTGGAGACTTTAATCCTGTAAGCAAAGTAGACTACAATGCAGGGACGCATCTCTATCGGAGTGTGGAGAACCTACACTGGGCCACACTGGCTGATTCACATTGCCATCCCTACTGTGGAAATGTAGACAACAAACTTGTTTTCCATTACAAGGGTACAACCCAGTGGTCCAAGTATTCCGTGGAAGGAGCCCCCTCCCCTGGTTCACCTGAATGCTGCCGACACTTCCCCCTCTCCTCGGAGCAGATACCACCTGCAGCACATGACATAGCTCTTCCCTCTGGTGCCAAAGTGACTCCATGGCTTTTCTCCTCCATAGATGTGGATGCCAAAAAGACCTTGAAGGAAAAGCTCAGACTTCACAGTATGAAAGCTACGGAGATTTGCAAGCCTCTCAGACCTCAGGCTTCCTTGAACGACCTGGTTGCAAGGGAATGTTCCCAGTGCCGGGCATGCCAGCAGTCTAGGAATGGTTGTTCCATTAACTGTTGCACTATACTCGTGCAGCACACTACCCTTCCTTGTGGACCATGGATGACACTGGGGAAGCATCGGCCATGTTTTTCTCGCAGGCTCACCAATCCAGAAGACATCAAACAAGAAGCTCAGAGGAGGTTGCAGATCAGAAGACAGAACAGCTCACCCAACTTGACCCTCCATTGTGCTAATGATGGCCAGGAGATGACCAAATCGCAAACAACTGGATCCTTAAAGGGATATGAGATGGAACAGAACACCAAAAGGACTCTGGAGCTGAGCAGGAAAGGAGACTGTAAAGAGAAGCTCTACATTCCAACTTTTGAAGAGTTCAAAAGGATGAGAATTAAGGGGACATGTTTCCTTGGTGGTAGCCATGAATCCGCACTAGACATGAAGGAAGGGACCCAAAGGTTAGAAGAAAAAAGAAATCAAAACCTCTTTTCAGATGCCCAGCAAGACCTCACCAAAGAAATGGTTACAACAGTAGATTATTATGATGATGTTTTTCATGAAAACACTGAGAGCACTTCTGGGTTAGTTGGCTATCAAGATAGTTCATCAACCTGGGACAGGAGTTTCTATCTAATGAATATGCCTATGGCTTGGGACAAGAACAACGAGATGCCAACATCAGATAGGTTCCCTGTCCCCATTTGCTCTAGTCCAGTCCCAAGATCACCTCTACAATCAGCTGCAGTTTCTGTGGAGGAAGGAAGGAAAACCTTTGCTGAAGGGGAGAAGCAGGGCCTGGATGCAGGACTGGATGAAGTCCTTCCCCATGCTGCACAGTGCAGTGCGCCTGAAACCCAGTCTTCTTGTTGCCCACTGCTATTAGAAGCAACAGATATATCCAGCTATGGAGCTAAGCTGCAGAAAATGAAGGATGAATTTATAGGTTCTGCACTTGACCTCATTAAAAAGAGGTAACTGACCATATTAGAGTTCCTGAGAGCAATTTCATCTGGAAAATTCTTACAAATGTGCTTACAAATTTAGCTGGCATTCTAGAACCTGCCTTCTGAAGTCAGTCTGCTGGGAACATGAAACAGCTTTGCTTTAATTAGCATAAAAACTAATGGGCAGTTGTTTTGGGCAGGTTTCCCACCCAGACCTGTGGCATTAAGATTCTGTAGCCAGAGATGCAATGCCAGGGCCATGCAAATTTATATTAGAGGACAATTATTATTTTCTTTGGAAAAATTGACTGGTACTTGTGCTTTAAGCTGAGGATTTTAACTAATTACCATATGTGTTGCAAAGAAAGAATTTTCCTTCGGGACAGATTTGCCCAGCAATTGAGTGGGGTGGGCAATGCATGAGGAATGGTGCTTTCTTCCTCTGGTCTGTGCTTTTTTGCTCACTTGCTTGAGCCAATTGGAGTAATTGAAATTTGGGGGGCTGTGTTCAAACCATGGTTTAGTGCTATGAAAACAAGCCTTGTTTCTCCTCGGCTCATGTTTCATATCTGGCATGGCCATGAGAAGATGATGAGAGGCTTCTGTTTTCATCTGAGATGGACTCATAGAATAGTAGAGTTGGAAGGGGCCATGAAGGCCATCGGGTCCAACCCCCTGCTGTTGCAGGACTCCATGTTACACCATCCTACTCAGATGGCTGTCCTGTTTCTTTTTTTAATATCTCTGGTGTGAGAGCCCACCACCTCTCTAGGCAGCTGGCTCCACTGTTGTATTGCTCTGACAGTAAGGAAACTTTTCCTGATATCTAGCCTGAATCTGGGTTGTCACAGCTTGACTTGATTATTCAGTGTCCTGCACTCTGGTATCACCAAGAAGAGGTCTTGCCCTTCCTCTTTGTGACAGCCTTTGAGGTACTTATAGAAGGATATCATGTCCCCTTAGTCTTCTCTTCTTCAGTTCTCTCAGTCTGTTCTCACAGGGCAGTTTTTCCAAACCCTGGATCATTTTTGTTGCTTTCCAAGGCACTGTGGTGATTAGATTAGAGTGTTGGCTGGGGAGCGATTAGGCGATTAGTGTTGGATGGGGACTTGGAAGATCTGTATTCTAGTCCTGACTCAGTTATGAAGTTCCCTGCTTGACTTTGAGCCAGTCACTGGCTCTTAGCCCAACTTACCTCACAGGGTTGCTGTTGTAAGTATGAAATGGAGAGGGAAAGAACCTTATAAGGAAAGCTTCCTTAAATGGGAAGGAAAGGTGAGGAAATAAATGTAATAGAAGGAGAAGAAGAAATTTATAGCTACTGACTACTCAGAAACTTCCTTTGAGTCAATGACTCTAAACGGTGGGTTTAGAAGTTTTCATTGGCAATGGAAATCTAATATATTGCCAGATTTCCAGCAGTGTGTATTTGAGGAAATGTATATTGATAGAAGGGGTGCTTCTTCACACTAGAGCTTAACATTTTAATCCCATATTTTGTTTATTATGAAGTAAGCCCCATCCACTGCAGCTTACTCCTAGGTAACTGTGCAGGATTACAGCCATATGTTAGAAACATGTGCTAGAAGTCTTAGGATTCACACTTACAAATTTTTAGAGGTCATATGAGGTCACTGAGTTACACTGTTGGTTTGTGGGATTTATACCTTACCTTATCACATACAGCCTCAAGGCCAGGAAACAGCATTTCACTGCCTTCATCCATTCTTCTATTTGCCACCCAATGGGGCTTCTTAGGATCATTCGAAGCCTCCTACATGCTGATCCCAAGGACATTGAAGATGCATCTGAGGCCTGTTATATAATATTTGCTAGACGCTTTCTGGATAAAATCTCTTGCATCCTCCAGCATAGTCTGATCCAGTAACATTTGGGTGTTTTTCAGGTGGTTCAGCTTGAGGATGTTGATGGTGTACTCGGACAGGTCTGTTCAAGCACACCTGCACTGGACCTTTGACCCTCTTGGCTTAAAAGAGCTAGCAGAGTGGGAAAAGCTAGGCAGGTGATCAATGACTCTTTACACAAGGCAATGGCCCCTATTACCTTAAAGAGTCGGTGGTGAGGCCATCGTGATGCAACCCTCTCTGAATCCAGAAGACCCTAATAATTTTAGGTTGGTGGCAAATAATTCCCTTCCTGCGCAAGTCCTTGAGAGGGTGCTGGCCAACCAGCTCCAGGTACACTTAGTTGTGAACAATGTGGATCAATTCCAGTTGGGCTTTGGACTGGGTTTTGACTCAGAACAGCCTCGGTTGCCCTATATGTTGACCTGTGCTGAGAGAGAGATGGAGGAGTGTGATCTTTTTTGGAACTCCTGGATCTTTTCGCAGTTTTTTATACCATTGGCTTTGGGATCTTTCTGGAGCGACTGGCTGAGATGGCAGTCCTTTTTTTCCTTTTTCTCAAGACTTAGTTTCTTGTGTGCAAAGCTCACTGAAGACATTGCCATGGAAAACACAAAATAAAGAAATAAAGGTGGACAAATTTTTTAGGATGACAGGGAAGATGGTTGAAAAAGAGGACTCCCAGGGCAAACATGTATTTGTGCTTATGTATATTAAACTTGCTATACAAATTCTTATTTGTTCAAGATCAAAACAGCAACCAGTGTAGGACAGGTGAGAAGAGATAAAGAGCACATTGGAAAATACAACCATAACACCTGTAGAAAAGATGGAGGAGTGTGAGCTGTCTGGGTTTCACCAAAAGAAAATCTTGCTCAGGGTAGAGAGGTGAATACAGAAGGTTCCATAATGAAATTAAAAATGGACTTGGACCACTGAGGATCCACAGTAGAAGAAGAGTATAGGGCATAGTTGGGCACAGTTTTCTGAGGCAGCCTGTTGGACAACATTCTTTACAAAATTGACGCCTGTAACCATGTCCAAGAACAGTGAGCCCATGCTTGTATTTCCCTACATGGTCTTACATGTTCTCATATTAACCATGCTAGCCTCTTTCAAATTAGATGCACTTATAACCTGATTATTCCTGCCTAAAATCCCTGTATCATCTTGTGCTAATTCTGTGCCATACCACCACATTCTCCCACCTGATAGAAGAAGACGGAACAAATGCAAAGCCAGTTGATTAAGGAACAAGGGAGACGATGTCATGAGGAATAATATACAAAAGATGAGTAGGCTGGTGTCTCATAACATTGGAAACATGCACAAATACATTTGTTTGACTATAGAAACAGATTCATTCAGCTGTGAGTTTCCACTTGTCTCAGTTGTCCATCACTTAAAAGCACCTCCTCTCTTTTTGATCCTTGTTTAACAATCTGCTAGGATGCCATATAACATTGGGAGACAGGAAGCTCCATCATCAGCTGCGGAATTGGATAGCACTGAAGTGCCATCAACCCCAACCTCCTTTTCCTCCCCGCGAGGCAGGATGATCGGCTCCATACAGATCAATCCAAACCAGTGTGCCATTTGCACAAAGCAGGAGTGAACAAGTGAGCTGTCCGTGGATCAGATTATGCCAGATGATAGTGGAAGTGAGCCAAGCCTTCACATGGAGAGTGAAATACTTATAAAACCCAGAAGGTCACAAACCCAACCTCATTCAATTTTTCTGCTCTTTCTTTTATATGCAACCTCCAGGCTACCTTGCACATTTCCTTTGGTGTTCCTTCCAGCTGACAATTTTACTGAAAGAACATTTACTTTGTAATACCATTTCAGCTGAAGTACATAGAAATCAGTATCAGCTCAAGGGTTACCAACATTTTACCTTGTAAGATATTCCTATATAACGATATATAGCTGGTGTTGCGACATTATATAGGATCTTTGTATCCTAATTTGGTTGTCTTTTAAACCTAATGTGTCTTTAAGCATCTAATTCTTAATATGCAAAAACAGGCATTTTGAAGTGGCCTTACTTGGCTGTTGTTCAGAGTCTAGAAGCAAAGGTGGTTTAAAGCTGTAAATGACCCCGGTTCTGGTAATCTCGGGGAATGCCTCCTCCCATAGGAAGCTCCACACCATCTACAAGGGAAGCCCTGATTCAGAAACTATGTTATGAGAAACAGGCTGCTTTACCGCCCAGCTCAAGCACTGTGGAATGCCCTCTCTTGGGATGTAGCCACTCTCCAGTCTTTACTGCTGAACATAGGTCAAGAAGAGCTTTTTCTTTCAAAGTTTGATCCAGATTTTTCTTGGGTCTGGTTATCCTGCTGTTTCCTTTAGATTTGTATGCTTTAGAGACAATATAGTTTATTACTTACATTGTATACTGCTTTCAGTTAAGTTTTGAAGAACAGGATAGAGGCATTTTAAAATGAAATTAAGAACTGACACATCTGAGATAGCAGTACAGAACCACTCCTTCCTTCACATTCTTGTGGAACTTAGGAAGAATATAAGAGCATGGTATTCTTACTTCATCTGCATAAAATCCAATCCAATCAATGAATAAAAGGCTGTTCTAGATACTTCCCTTCCACTCAGCCCTTTCTCCAATCTGTATATTATTTTTCAAGTTATATGAAGGCGCATTGGTAGTAGCCAAAGAGACATCGAATACCCATGTGCAGGAGACACAGGGAGGCTACTAAAATATTCTGTGATTTTCTGAATGTAGAGTCAGTATCAAGAATGGTTTGCGATTACTTGATGTAAACTTAGTCGAATTGGCTATCAATGGCTAGTAGCCCTGATGGCTATATACTACACCCTGTACCTAATGTGCCTGTGAATGCTCAGGACTTTAGGTTGGCCCCTGTGAGAAACAGATTGCCAAACTAGATGGACCTTTAATAAAGAGTTCAATTCAGTTCTGCAATTCCCAGCAAAATTCCCAAGACAGAAGCTATTTCTTGAGGGGAAAGTCAAGTCTCATGCGTTTGTTGTGCCGTCAATGAAGTGGAAATGTTCTTAAATCTCTTAGTTCATCAATGTATATAAAGTGAACTTGAAAAAAACAAGATACCTGTGAAATATTTATAGTCATCATTATTATTGTTAGTGTGGTCATTTTAGTGACGTGCTTATGGGTAATCCTGTAGGTGATGGCTACTTAGTTTTGTACATTTGCACTCACGTTCTCCCTCTCTCCCTCTCTCTCCCTCTCTGATCATTCTGGAAGCACTTGCTTGTATTTGTGATGATAGGAAAAAAGTTGTCTCCTGTCTTGGTGCCAACAAAATATCTAAGAGGAATGAAAGGAACAAAGAACTTGTGAGATTTGAACAGTACTGTTAAGCAGAAATCTTGAGGGATCAGACTTTTACATTTGCTAACAAGTTTCAGTTAAAATGCTTATAGTGTAGTACTGATGGAAATACAAGTGTGACATGGTGGGAAGAAAGAAGGGCCAAGGCATTGTTGATTTTGCAATCCTTTGTTGATGTTACAAGCCAGTCTGCGCATAGTAATGGTTCGCACCTTACAGATCACCTGCATCTTTTTAAAGATTTCCCTGTTTGCCGCTGGACTTGGCTCTGGCTTGCTTTTCGCGCATCACATTAATTGGATTGTGTCCCTTTCCTCACAGCTGCACTGCTGAAACTGCCCCTGACCCCCCCTCCCAGGGAACAGGTGAACTCAAGAAACCTGATGCCACTTTTGCGGAGAATCAACAACAGCCCACAGTGAGTTATGTGGCTTGGGGAAAAGAGGTGCTTTAGAAGAGTGAGTGTGTTTTTAAGGCCTCCTGCCATGGCATGGCATCTCTTAGCCGTTTTGCATGTTTCTCATTGCTCCTGGCTCTGGCTCCCCCACCCCACCGTTTCTTCCCCGCTTTTGCTTGTATCTCACCCTCAAAACCCTTCCTGCTTTCAACCAGTGGTGAAGGACCGGCTAATGAGTCAGACCCACAAAGCGTATCCACACTGTGGAACCCTTCCAAGTTACTTGTGACTGAAAGCGCCATCCTGCCTAAATCTCAGTCTCACTGAGTTCACTGGGGCTTACTCCTAGGTAAGTGGGAATGAAGTTACAGCCCAAATGCCACTGAAAGCACAAAGGTTCATTGGGACCAACTGGTCTGCTCATTTCAGTAGATCTTGATTGCAAAACAAACTTTAGCAGGATTTATCTGGAAATGTTTAAACTGGTTCAAAACTGGATTCATTTTCATGGCTTTACAAATTTGTAAACTGTGGCTATGTGAGAAGGTACTGAAAGTTCCCCGTTAGTATTCAATAGCACAGAAATGCATTTTCCATGTTCTTCTCGTTGGAGCCATGACACTTAAACCAATCAAAATGCCTTTAAACGTGTAATACAGACATGGTAAGCATTCAGTTTGTGTAACAGGCATGGAGAGGATTTCCCATTTCAACCTAGATCAAGCTCTCATTGAGTGGGGTCTAGTCAGTAGTTGATAGGTGGTCTGAAGGACAGCATCATCTTAGGCCTGCCTTTTCTAACCTGCTGCCTTCCAGATGTGTTGGTCTGTTGTTTGTACAATTCCCAACCAGCATGGCTTGGTTAGACTGGCTGGGGAGGACCACAGTTGCCTGGATGGCACCAGGGTGGCTTTGGCTGCCGTAGGACAGTCCATACTTTACTACGTTTGATTGCTCTTCCTGCTAACCCTAACCCACACCAGCCCACGAAAAATAGCACATTCTTTGCTGTTTTCTCTGTGTATACATCAAACAGCTGCACATAAATATCTCAAAAATGTATCTAGAATACTAAAAGAGAATATAAATCGGCCTGTCTGTCTGTCTCTCTGTCTGTCCAGCACTGCAAAGTGCCAGTCCTGTGAAATCTAGCATGCATTAGTGTAGGATGTATACTAGGGATGTGCCTCTTAGGGTGATGCTATTTAAATTAGTTTAAATGTATACTTGTGGTTGACACCTGCAAGGACAGAGTCAGTCACCAGAGGCTAACAGTGGGTAGCTTTGCAGTCCATACAGTTTTGTGTCAGAAGAGATAAGAGGCTGAAGAAGAGAAATCTAAACTAGCCTCCTTCCCCTTTCAGTGGGGCAGCCATTTCTTTGGGTGCGGGGAGATGATAGACCCCTCTTGCAGACTGCGATTGGGATATTCCAAGGCAAGACCTGTGGCTAGGCGTGTTAGCAAAACATCCGGTGGGTAGGAAGTATCCAAGCCTGACAGCTCCCTAAGATGTTTGGAAGGCTTCACAGCTCCAGAGGTCAGTAAAGGTCTGTGCCAAGGTCTTTTTCAGCCCCAGTGAAGCCACGTCTATTTGTCACTTTAATATAAAATAGCCACTCATTTTGCCTCTTTAACTGTGTGGGCATGCCTGGCTGCCAGGTAGAAACTGCTCAGTAGACAGGAGGAGGAACAGAAAGGCTTGGGAGCGGATTGATGGGATATCGGTGCAGAACATTGCCAGGTTTGGCCCAGGATACATATTTTGTGTAGGCAAAGCTCGCCCCCCAAGTCTCTTCATTTCCCTTTCCAGGCCTCCAGCTCCAACTGCCGCCGATCCAGCTCTGACATCTCCTACGAAACATCAGACTGCACCAAAGCGCAGCGGGAGTGTCGGCTACGGCCTCACTTCAGTGACCCAATGCCAACAGATGCTGTGAAGAGGAAACAGCTGGAGCTGAAGATAGCTGCAGCCGCACGCCAGCATGCCCAGAAACGCCGGCAGGAGAGAGACCCTGGTACGTCCCCTGCCTCTGGCTCAGTTTGAGTATGCCCTGGAGTGACCTCAACACCCTCAGCTCCGAGTGTGTTTTTAACATTACGTTAGCAGCCATCATTTAGTGGATTCTTGCATGACCCTGGCCCAGCTCACCACCACCTGTTCCTGCTGCAACACCCACAGAATATGCTCTATCCATGGTATTTTTTTATCGTGGGGTCTCTCCAGAGGAGAGGGGACACAGCAAGAACAGCAGCAGCAGTTTCTGCCCTTTGGAAAACAATCAAGACGCTGGCTGGCACAACTTGGGGGAAGTCTGATGCTGCGCTCAACGCACTCAGTGTAAGATACACAGGGCAGAGTAGAGGCGGTGGCTCTGGCAGTGCCCTCACGGCTTCCTGTAGCTCTCATGCTCTAGTACTTCAGCTTCGCACACAACAGAGCAAAAGCTGAGCAAGGCCTTGAGCACCTGCCTTGTACGTAGACCGAACAGATGGAGCCAACTGCTCAGCTGCTGGGAATTGGGGGAGTCGTAGCTCAACACATCTGAAGGGCAGTGGGTCAGAGAAGTCTGCAGGAGGAGATCCCCCTCCTCTTGTTCTTTTGGTTTATTCGGGCTGGGGAGCACTTCCAGCATGCCTGAGCCAAAGTGCCGGTGGGACGTGCTCCCTGAGGTTATCAAATGAAGGAGAGAGCTGTGGCCTAGGAACAGGAGGAGCCACTCCTTTGCTGGCTGGGGGAAGCATATTGAGGTAGCACGTGATTCACCGAGCGGAACACCACTGCGTAGCCATGCAGGTCATTTTAGCAGTGGCTTGATAAAGCTCTTGTTTTGGCTGCTCTCCTTCGATACAGATGCAGAAAAGCACCTAGGAAGCCACGTGGTTTTATGCCTGCCTGCATTCCCCCCCACTCTGACTTTCACAGATCTGTTCTTCCTTGGAGAAGGTGGGTTGGGAGGGAGAATTTTCACAGCAGTGGGGAATATTTCCTAGAAAGGTTTTAGGAGAGGGGGCATTGGTTTACCTTTGTTTTAGCTAAGGGGGCCAAGGGGGTGACAGGTTTCCTCCCAAAAGATGACAAAACAACAAAAAGATAGGCTCAGTCTTCATTTCTGGATGTGGGGCTGAGTTTTCTCAGGAACTCATGGAAAGGATCCCCCTTGTAGTTAGAAATGATGTTGACTCACTTCTTTATCTCTTCAGTCCCAGCGCTGGCCAAAGCCAACATCAACCATGGCAGCAGCCTTGATGAGAACCGTCGCACTCCGGGCAGCTCCTTCCGTTCCAGATACCGCTGGAGCAATGTCAGCAGTCTCAGTGTGGACAGCGGCATTGTGGGTGGGAGCGATGAGAGGGACAATCCCGATGCCAGCAGTGGAGGGTCACCAAGGATGAGGTTGGCTGAGATGGAGCGGGCAGACAGTGGCATCAGCCAGGTGCTGACCCGGAAGTGGCGGAACAGGGCAGCTGAGACCCTGACCTCTCTACAGGCGTGGGACGCGCACCAGCCTTGCACTGACTGTGGTGCGAGAGACTTCCCACTGGAGACCGATGTGCAGAACCAGAACAAGAGGCGGGCCACGCTCTGCGAGAAGTGCCTCAAGTGCCGGACGGAGCGGAAGGAGTCAGTGCTGGAGTTTGTCAATACCGAAGCCAGCTATGGGGAGGACCTCCGCATCATCAAAGAAGAGTTCTACCTCCCCATGCAAGCTGCAGGCCTCCTAACACAGGACCAACTGCTGGTGGTTTTCAGCAACATACAGGAGCTGATAGACCTGAACGAAAGCTTCCTGGAGTACCTCCAGGAAGAGATTGACCAGGCCTTTGAGCAGGTAGTGTTTCTGGGCTCGGGGTTCCCTTCCCTTTGGGCAGTCATGAGTTACTTCGTTCCTTTGGCTTTGTTAGCATGGCGCTTGCAGTTATGCCTCTAACTCGAAAGCCGCAATGTCTAATGATACACGAGGGAATTGTGAGTCTAAAGTATTTGGCATGTGTTCCGTTGACTATCTTACCCCTCCTTCAGAGGAGCCTTTCTCAAGATTGGAGGCCTGTATTTTCCCTTAATTTCAAATGTATGAGAAAACACCGGTCTTGCAGCTTGAAGGGAAAGCTGAGGATCAGATTGGATGCACAAGCAGCCTGCTCTGCTCCGGGAACAAAAGCAGATCGTGTGAATTCAGTAAACAATAGGCCAAGATCACTTGGAGAACAGGCATCTCAAAACTCCTGGGGTCTCAGCCATGAAATTTGCCCCCTGTGCTCCTGAACAGTCTGGGATGAGTTGTTCGACAGGTGGGTTTGCGTTTGCAGCACTTTCATGCCTTGCTCAAGCAACGGTGTGTGTGTTGCACAGTGAGGTCTACCATCAGTTTCAAACACGCACGTGTTTCCATTGGCCAAAGGAGAACAATGAGTACAGCGGATTGGTTGTGCTATCACCTAAGCAAAGCTAATGGTATTTACATGCTGCTGCATATTTATATTATGCCTTGTACTTTATCAGAAGCTCTGAGAGAGAAAAAACACACTTTTACCATGAAATTCATTTTACAGCAGCATCCAAGAAGGCCTTTGGGAGAGCAATTAAAAGCAGTGTTGCTTGCCAACAATTGCTGGTGGCAAAGAACAAACACGTGGCGAGTTAAATCCTTGTTATTTGAGCCATACTCCAAACTGGCTCTCTTCCTTGAACATAGTCAAGGTTATTTATAATTTCTTGGAACAGCAGTTCTGAAAATTCGTTAGGACAGCCCAACACCTTGTGCACAGCAGCAGGCACAGCAGCTCTTTAAGCTCTTTTGCAAGTCATGTGGGGCAGAGATACTATTTTGAAGGCACTGCAGCCATCTTGGCGAAGGTTCTCAGCGCACAAATGGAGCGTGTGCTTTTTGCTGAAGAAGGTTTCAGGTTCCCTTCCTGGCACCCCCAGTTAAAAGAAAAAAGAAAGAAAAGAAAGGACGGGAATCATGATCCTGGAGAATTGCTACCAGACAGAGTGGTCAGTGCAGGGCTGGATGGACAAACAGGGAAAAGCTGTAGCTCAGTGGGAGGAACACATGCTTTGTGTCCCCAGTTCACCCCGTGGCATCTCCAGGTAAAGCTGAGAAAGACTCCTTGCCTGAACTCTTGGAGAGCCATAGCCAGTCCGTGGCAGCAGTACAGAGCAAGATGGCCCCATGGTCTGGCTGGGTCCAGTCAGCTTCCTGTGCTGAGGAGCGTGCAAGTCTTTGGGCACATCATCCCAGCAAATAAAGAGTGTTGTGTACCAAGCTTCAGGCAATAGTGTCTCCCATAAGAATTACAGATTTCACCTGTGACCCCATGGCTGCAGTTCAGCATAGAGCTTACCGTGGAGAAAGTCAGTGCCTTTTTTTAACGTATGTGTGTCGTGGGCTGCAATCTTGTGCTCACTTACTACAAAAGAAGTTCACATCGTTGTATCCATCTGCTAAAAGCAAACCCCAATATATTCAGTAAACTCCACTTCTATGTAAACATGCACTGGGTCTGGTTTACTTATAATCAGTTTGTACAAGAAAATAGCTATAGAGTTATACTCCCCTGGAATGCTTATTCGTATTGATGTACATGTGCTTATAAATGATTAACTGGAAGAGGTTTTGATTGCTCACATCACAAAAGGATGCATCTTAAAATCTTAACCCTAATATTCAACAAGTAGAGAATTCCACCATAGAAAATTCTGGGATACACAGGCTGAACTAACAGAAAAAGAAGTGCATTTGCTTAATGGGGAGATGGTGACTGAATGAGACAACAGTCTGGTTTGACTGAATAATTTAACATTATGAATGAGCCCTATATCCATGTATCTGGCTCCTTTCCTCCTCCCCTTCAGCATGGCAAAATTAATTCCAGATGTCTTCAGTTAATCACAGTTTCCTGGTATTCCTGAACCAGGAAACGATGGTTACCAGGCTTGGAACAAGCCAGTACCTTAAACTGGCTTCATCCTGGGCTTTGAGATCCTGATTTGCTGAACCAGGTAACTACAGCTTTCCATTTGGATGGTAATGGGATACTGTAGTTAATAGAAGACTCCCTGGCTTACACCAAGAAGGAAGGGGAGGGTACAAGGATGGAGCATGTAGGCAAAAGATTCATGTGTATCTCGGCTTATTAAGGCAAGATATGATCATATAGATTGAGTAAGTGTGATAGTGTTGTTTCCAATAGCCACGGGAGACCCAAAGAGGAAATTGAGTTTGGAAGCTGAAGACAAGAGGCCACTTGTGCTGTATTCTGGAATCCGGTCTCAGCATTCCCATAACAAGAACTGAAGCAATGTCATTTTTTCAAATGAGAATTAGAGTCGTAAATGTGAACAGAATGCTGCAAGGCTTCACAAAAATCTGAAGAAAACTAATGTAGAAAATGAATGTTAATGAAGTTTTAAAGTTCAAGGAATTGAACCTCTTAAGCAACTTGTATTTTGACATAGCCTTGGTTCTCAAGTTTTGAGGGTGGGTGGGTGGGTGGGTGGGAGAACATATTCACAATTCAAAACCTGGGAATGCAGATCTTCTTCGTGAAATAGAACATTGACACTGACTTGTCAGTGAATTACAACACTGGCACTTTAACCTGAAAGAGGCCATCTGCCTGCAGTTTTAAATCCAGCCATTTCAAATGGCATGCTTTTTTGCTTTTGCTTTGACTGTTGCTTTTCAGGAATACTAACCCTCAAGAGCCATGGAACATACAGTAGATCACAGAACGTTCGTGCCATGGCAACTGACCCTGGCAAAAATGGGCACAGCATTCTCTTGTCAGTGAAAAAGACACACGTCACAACAGATAATTGTTAATCAGCAAGGAAGGATATCACAACATAAAGGCAGTCCCTGAGTTGTGAACGGGTTCCGTTCCTGAGGAAATGGACATTTGTCTTTAAGTTGAATTTGTATGTCAGTCAGATCATGTACTATATAGTGTCCCTTCACATTTTCAGGGTTGGGGCACAGGAAAATACTGTGAAAATGGAAAAAACATCCAAATATCTCTCCAGCCCTCCCCTGCAGAAGCTTATCAGGGCCTCCTCTTTGCAGCAAGGAGATGCCAAAGAGATTTCCTTCTCTGGATGGATGGAACAGGAAGGCCGGCTTTGGAGACCTCCCTCTCCCACCTTTCTCTTCCTCTCTCTTTGGTGATGCTTCAGAGGCTCTCCCTTGCTTCCCTTTTGCTTCCTCTCTCTCTCTGGTGATGTTTTAGAGGCCCTTCCCTCTCCTTTTCTGCTCTCTTTCTCTCTATGGTGATACTGTGGAGGATCTCGCTTGCTTCCCTTTTGCATCCTCTCTGTGGTGAAGATTATATTCTGCAGTAATTTTTAAAAAATGAATAGGCTTTAAGGCAGTTCATAAGTACAGGTTGTTCATAACTCAGGTGTTTGTAACTGAGGGACTGCCTGTTTGTTTCTCAGAGTTAAATAAATGCAAGCCATTTCTGGATGGTGTTTGTTTGTTTGTTTGTTTCTTCTTGACTTTTTTCTTTTGTATAAACAACTGTATTATTATACCAGTCAGCAGAAAAACTGTGATACCCAAAATAATTTTCAAATATGGATATAACCCTACAGTTGTTTTCCATTTGAGCCCTGTATGATCAAAACCATAAAGATGTCCATGATTCTTCCCATCATCCAGCCCCAAAAACATGCTGGATGCATGCTTGCATGGAAAAAGTAGCCTGTTTAATTGCATTTCTTACAGAGCAATTCTTCAGACAGGGGCAGAAAAATCGGAATTCAGAGGAATTGCCCCCTTTAAAGCTCTGCTGGGCTTGTACAGGCATAGAAGAAAAGAATGGGAAGCAACTTTTGGGGGATTTCTGCTCTCCCTCTCATGTGTGTGTCCTTGGTAATTTCCCTCCTGTGGGAACTAATGAGAGGGCAATAATGTATCCAAGCCTTCTAGTTGAAGACCTGTCTGGAGATTAGGAGGACAGTCCCCCAAAAGCGTATCGCCTAATCCGCACCTTACCTTGCACTCGGGTGGGGGAGAGTTGTCTGCAGTTAGATCTCACCCTCAAAGAGAACCTTTTTTCTTCTGCACTCTGAGGGGGACATACAACCTGTCTGGTTGTCTCCATGACACCCTCCTGGAGACGGTTGGTTTGCAATCTTAATTTCACAGAACCATTTAGTTTTTTATCACTGCTACTTCCTATATTATAGTTAACTCACTGCTCAACATTCAGTGTGTTTAGACCTTTTCCAGATTTCACAGTTTGCTATTCACATTTTTCCAATTGCAATAACAAATGATTTTTCAATCCATAACAATTACCAATCAATATTTCCAATGAATAATATTTCAGGAGTATCAGATAGTATGTTCTGCTGAGAAACTGAATGACTGAAAAAGCTTCTTCCTGCTATTGTTTTATATGCAGACACCTCTACTATATCTAGAAAAGAAGGGCTTTTAACATCCAGGCGTACAACTTTCCATATCAGTAATTCTTGTCATCCTCCATCTGGTGAGGTTCTACCTCTTTAACCCATATAGTGGGCTTTCTCTCAATGTTAAGCAAATAGAAATAAGTGCTGTCTTCCCCACACCTTGCCAGAGGCATTTCTCCATAATTCATTATTCTTTGTGCCATTGTTTTACATAATCAATTTCTTTAGAAAGAAAAATCATCAGCATTCTGTACATTCTTGACATATTGTCTGTTAACCAGCCTTCTGCAGGATCTGTTATTTGAAGAAAGTCACTTTTCTGAGCCTGTTTTGATGCATCTTTTCCAAGACATAATGCCTTGCTTGAAAACACTGAAATAAATGCAGCTGAGGACCTGGCTAATCTTTTGCAATTACTTGGTTATGCATAAAATGCCCAATGATCCATCCATTCCTATGGTGCTGACTTAATCTAGCATGCACATGACAAAGCACAAGAATCGAAATATGTACATTTGGTAAATCAAATCATGGAAATTTAGGGAGCAGTTCCAACCTCTATATCTGCTGGGTGGAAGTGGTTAAGTTGGAGTGGGAGTCCCCCCCCCCCCCCAGCCAAGAGGAGCTCTGCCACTCTTGCAGCCCCTCAGTATGTCCATGGATAGCTCTGCAGGCACAGATCTACTGATCCCCATGGCGCTTCTGGTGGTGGCTGGTCTCTAAAAGGGCTATTCCGGCATGGGTGGAGGTGCCACTGAGTTTGCATTCAGTGCCCCACAGTTTCCCTCAAGGGAACCAAGAGTGGGCCCTGGTGTTGATGGAAGTAATTTCATCCCATTTAGTTATTACATGCCTTTGTAAAGCCATCTGCAATCGAGAGGGAAGGCAAGAACCAACAACAATTATTGTCATATTAAAAAGCATACAAGATACACAGAGGAGTTGCTCAAAGATAGATAACTTAATTAGGACTTTATATGTTAAGACAAGTACCATGAACGGATCCCAGAATGTTTTGGCAGCCAGGACTGCTGGCACAAAATTGGGGTTCTGTTTTCAGGCTTTCTAGCTCTCATCAGCATCCAGGTGGCTACATTTTGTGTTAGCTGCAGCTTCCAGAGTGTCTTCAAAGCCACTCCCCCACTGCAGTGGTTTAGTCTGGAAGCAGCCACTGAAGCCAGGCCCAAGTGCTCCAGTCGGGGCCCACCGAGCAGCATTTGTAAAAGGCACTCCTACCTGCAGTCAATACCCAATCTTCACCAGGCAGTGAGGAATCGAGCAAGCCCCCAGCTCAGTGTCTGGTCCTTCAAGGGGAGTGCAGCCCCGTGCAGGACTAGTTTCACACCGCTATCTGATGCATTTCTCACATTGTGTGTTGGCAGGGTGATGACGACCTCATGACTGTGTGCATTGGTGAAATATTCCTGGAGTTTGTCAATATGCTCCCTGCCTTCCAGACATACTGTCTCCAGCAGTCCTCTTCAGTGAACATGCTCAATGCACTGGAAAAAGAGAAGGAGCTACTCAGGTGAGGAGACCTCTGTGTCAACATACACGTGGGCAGGTGTGTGTTGGGGGGTGTCCCCAAAAGTCAGGGCCAAGCGTCAGAATACGTAGCTCTGACTAGGGCTAAGGGGCAGGCGCTTTAGAGATTGTACCAACATAAGCATGCTGGAAGCTCATGTTTGGGAATAATGGACTTGTTGGCCTGTCTAACTAAGACTTTCTAGCACCTGAGCTGCTGCCACTAAAGTGGATTTGGGTTAGTGTCTTCTTAACCATGAACCTGTGAAGAAAGAAAGAGGAGCCCCAAGTCAACTGGCCTGTTGTGCTCCTGAGGAATGGATAGGAACTTGCACCCAAGAGCACATGGGGTGTGTCTTGTGGATTCCTGGCAGACCTTGAGAAGTTGAAAAAGCAGGTTATGATTCATTCATTTATTACTTTTCAGTGCTGCCCACAGTCGGCGCTTGCTGGGTGGTTTACAGATATTAACATGTTAAAGCATATACTGTTGTACGTGATAGAAAAACTGATTATGTACAAATGTATAAACAGCGGACGTGCACACATACACACACACATCTTGCTTAAAATCCTAACCTGGTGTAGTCACTGTCAGTGGGAAAAGACAGTTAGATTTAAGTAATTGTGGGAAAGTAGAATGTAGCCAACAGAATGTAGCCTCCAATTGCTGGAAATTTCAATTCTAGTCCAAGTTGCCAACTTCATCTCTGTTGTGAGGCATGGTCCTCCTCCTGAGTAAACCCACTGCTCCAGAATTGCTGCACATCTGTACTGTTGCACATCTCTGAGTTCATGCAGAGTGAAGTGTTGAGCTCTCTCTATCTCCTCCCGTCACTACCCAGCTTACAGCCTTTTCTCTTACACTGACCCAGAGGCAGCGCACTGTAATACCTTGCCAGCTGGCATCCCTCCCGTTGCTCCATCAATTGGCTTCCCGCCTGTCTCCTAGCAACTGGCATCCTCTCTTGCAAGGGAAGGACCTCTATATCTGACAGGCTGCTTCACTCCTGGGGCGCACCCTGGCCAGATTCCAAGTCCTCCCCTTTTCTCCCATGGGCAGATGGGGCCCTTATCAACCCCAGCCGCAAACCCCACCGCTTGCTTGGCTAACTCCCTGTTCCCACTGGATGGCTGGCTGTCACCCTTGTCCACTGGAGTAACCCTCCTTGTTCCTCAGACTTTTCCTGGCCTTGGCCTGATACTGTAGTTTGCTGCCATTCTGAAACTCCTTCCTCTTCACTGTCTCAATTCAAATTCCTATCAAAGCTGTAAACTGGTTGCATGTATTTTGGGCACCTTTTCCCTGTGTGCACGCACAGCAGTCTCCTCACATGATTGTAGGGATGCCAGGCTGAATGTGCGATGGGACAACTTCTGAAGAGGAAATACTTGAAACTGTTGTGGCCTCTTCACTTAGACGCTCCATTGTGTGGCAGTGATGGAGGAAGCATCTTCCACCTTACATTCCTAGCTTGGGTTACTTGTATGGGGGAGGAGCGGGGAGGTGGATCTGCTGTGCCTTCAGGCCCCAGGCCCCCTCCCCTCCAGCCATGCTGTGAAGTGGCAGTGAGGAGGCGGGAAATGAAGTGGGTGGTGCTGAGCCTTTCTGCCTGCTGTTGCAGCTACCTTGTAGCCACCATGGATTCACATCTTGTTCAAATCCATCCTCTGTGTTTTACATAAATGGAATAATATTTGGCAACTAAGTTATCAACCGAAATTTTAGAAAACCAGTGTCTCGCCCTCTGTTCGCTAGTGATTAACCCAGTGTGGGGACTTAAAAAGGCAAAAAGGTGGTTAGGATCTTGCGAATCAAATGGCACCATAGTTTGGTTGCTAGATGCTGCCCAGGCAGCCACAGGAAATGTGTCCTTAGGTTGGAGTAAAACTCTGACCCTGGCATGCTCATGCTCTGCTTCTGCAGCTGGCGTGGCTCTAACGGTGTGCCCCAGTGGCACTTCAGTCTCACCTCCTTGCAAGCAAGTGCAAAACACTCAGCTGAAATTGGTTGTCTCAGTATTTTGGAGGCCCAGAGTAGTGCCAAGCCAGTCCTCACCTCCAAGCTTCTTGCACCCTCTATTGGATCCATGTAATACCATAAGGTGGCTTTGAAGGACAGTGCAAAATGTTTATAAGGTTGGATGTGGCCCCCAGATCTGAGCTTCTGCATCCCTGATCTAAACAAATACAGTGGGCAAACAGAGAGCTCTGCCAGCATTTCTACTGCTGTTGTATAAGGAGGCTTAAAATCATTCTTTTTCTGAGCCTTGGTCAGGAAGGACCGGGTTAGCCGCAGGGCTGCCAGCACTCAAGTTGTTCAGTTAACTCTGGCAAAAACAAAACCCCAAGTGAGATGAGTGTGATCCAGAAGGATGAGTGGAAAAATGGTCCTCTTCCAGTGACTACCAATATGTAAGCAGCAGTAAAACATATGGTATCTAAAGATAATGGTGTCTGACATGTTTAGTGTTACATTTTTCCAAGCCTGCTTCCAGCAAATATTCTTTTTAAAATCCCTGCAGGATATTCCTCAATGTTTCCCAGAACGACAACACGGCACTTCGCCGCATGAACCTGCGGTCCTTTCTGATGGCACCACTGCAGAGGGTGACCAAGTACCCCCTTCTGCTGAGCCGCATCATCAAGGCCACCATTGAATACCACCCAGATCACAGCAGCCTGCGGGAGGCCAAAAGCCGCATTGAGTCCCACCTGGAGCACATCAACATGAAAACCAAGCAGGAAGGGAACTCCTGGACCCTGCGTTCCTTCCGCCAGGACAGCAGGAAAAACAGAGAAGTCATTAACATCGAAATGAGGGAAACCGCTATCAAGAGCATGGGCTGGCTGCGGGAAGAAACCCGCTTCGTCATGGAGGGGCCCTTGCAGCTTGCCCAGCCGCCTGATGGGCAGTGGGTGAAGAAGGGCAGCAAGGCCCTGAAGTTCCAGAGCATGCAGGTGCTCCTCATGGTCAACATCAGGCGGGCATCTGAATCCAGCTTTGAACCTGGGGATCCAGGGCCTGTGAAAGACGCAGTACTGGTACTTATCAAAGACAAAAACAATGGGAAGTTCAGCTTGCTCCGGGAGCCCTTGAGACTCAGTAACTGCGTGGTCTCCGTGGATCCCGACTGTGATGATACATTCGAACTTCTTGAAGTGAGGCGGGAGTCCTTCGTGTTCCGGGATGGTGACAAAGCACGGACTCACCACTGGTTCAGGCAGATACGGAGGTACTCTCGGGAGTTGGGCTCCTGGAAGAAGCGGCGTAATGCTTTGCCCAACATCATGATAAGTGCATCTCACAATAGGTCATGAGAGGTTTCTGCCTGTGAAATGACTCGGCTGTGCTCAGAAATTCCACTAGAACTGCTTTGGGATTAGACTCTCCTTTCAGTAGAATTGCACAAAGGAAGGACTTTACCTAGCCAAATAGCATCAGAGCTACCTATGACCATTTTCTACAAAGAAGGACTTTGAAAAAAGAACTATTTAATTAGTGTTTTTCAGTTTCTAGGAAAATTCTGCCCTGTTTTTAAACTTCTTAGATCTTCTACAAAGCCAGCCTAGAAACCTCACTGGGTTTACCTCTCTGGCTCTTAACAGCCTTTATGTCATCTCGCTCCCAGCTGTGTGGTTCCTATGTGTAAACACACACACACACACGTGCATATACACAGAGACAGGGTTGGATCCAGCAACTGCCTCCTATGGACAGAAGTGCTCTTCTCAAAGAACATGCTTCCATCAGAGTTTCAGGGATACCCCCTTCCCCTCACAGCTCACCCCATTCCATGTAGCAGTTTCAGGAAGTTGGAGGACTGTTGTGGGGAGGGGATGCGCACAACTGCTTCTGCTAGCCCAGCTGTGTGCATCCACATATGGATCCAAGCAACTAAAATTATAGGGGAGAAATGTGTACCTAATTCTGAGCTTTGGAACCACTGTGTGAACTGAAACTCGATTATCCTTCAAAGTTCTCACATCTCTGAATTTTCCAATCAAATAATACATATAAAATGGTGTGTATTTGGGGAAATAATGTTCACAATACTTTGTATTGGGAAAATTGCTAGCTGAAGGGGTAACTATGCTGGGCAGAATGCACATGCATTACAATGTGCACAAACATGTTCCTGACTTTTTGTGTGTGCTGCTTTTTAAAATACTGACAGGTCAGGACAAACTGAACTTAATGCTGGAAAAAGGAGGAACTGGAAGAAAGCAAGATTGAGACTTGTCCGCCACACACAGCTTTACGCACAAGTGGTCTATGCACATACTTCCTCTCCATGGCTAGTACGCAGCTTGTCTCCCACACCACCATCTCGGGCTTGAGGTAGCCCGCAATGGTCAGGGACTTCATATTCCACTTCTTTCTGTCAGCAAATCCACTGTGGTAAAAGTTCACACTGTGAGAAATCTTTAGCCTCTATAAGCCTACTACCAATAAGATACTAAATTCTACTACTTCTTTTGTGGGTGTCCCACATACTGTTTCTGGAGCCTCACAGTCCCTATATGGAGAAACACCACACAAAGGGGAAAAATACGAGGGCCCTGTTGAATCCAATGCCATAAGGGGCCGCCAGCTTGAGAGGAGCCCTGTATCTAACCCACTATTTACAGTAATTTACTAAGCTGGTAACAAGAAAGTACTGCTAACTTAAAGATTTTCTGTCGTCCTATGAATGAAATTTACACATAAGGGATCACACATGAATTTAGAAACAGAGGTTCCACTCTGGCTATCCAAGAGACTTCACCAGAACTTCACAACTGTGCTACCTTAAGGAGTAATCAGGAAAAGGCTTTTAAGTGGTCAGTGGCTAGATTCTGAGCAATGGAAATCTTTTGCACATCTTGTAAATAAGTATAACTACAAAGACAACCAAATGTTGTCTGTTGTCTGTATGGGGGAAAATAGGCCTGAGAAGACTTGCTCAACAGGGGGGCAGGCCCTTCAGGTTTGTGGCCTACTTGGGATGATGTCTTCCTACAATGGTAATTAGGCGTTACTTGGCACCAGATCATGAGGAGCAGGTCTCTAGAAAGAAAATGTTGAGCAAATATTGTTAATATTGTGAGACTAAAATAAAGAGTGTGAGATGTTTGATGCTGCATGATTGTGCTGGGGAAAAGAATCTTTGAATATATGATAGAGGTTTCATTGTGCGTATAGTATAAAGACATTAGGTAACACCCTGGTCAAACTTAGAGCAGTATTAACCCAGTTAAGGGGAACGTTTAGCCAGTATAATGAACTTTCCATTTCAGCTTGCTCTCCCAGGAAATATTTCTTTTAGCAGTTACTTCCCCTTGATTTGTTTTTATTTATTTAGAAAAGAAAGCTTCAATTTCCCACTTCTACACTGAAAACCAACTAGGTGCACCGTTTTACTTTGCACTGAACAGGTGTAACATGTAAACTGAATGGGAAGCCAAACTATATCCAGCATTTACCCACAAACATTCCAAAATACCTGTTCTAGAATCCTGTGGATAAGCAATATTTTCTCCCTTTACAGATTACTGGACCTGTTTGTAAATGATTAAAAGCCCACTGTAGAAAACCAAGGAATGTGATACATCAGAAATAGTTCTGAACTGTGCTTCTGTTGACAAGGCTCAATTACCTCTTCTAGTTTGTGATTATTTAAACTATGTAATCTAGTATCTTTCAAAATTTTAATTGAAAAGGATTCCGTTACGTTATATTGTAGATTAACATAAAATGTTTTAATAATTCTGTTTCTGTGTGCTTTAATTAACATTACATTTCCTTCCCATGACTTTAATTAACATTAAATTACATTTCCATTCCATTCCATTCCTACCTTCAACATACGAGAATTTATAAAAATGGGACACAGTGGAACAATATCCCATTGTGTCCCTGTCCCCCATTTTGAAACCATTTGTTTTGGCTCCCACATGGACTCTCCTACTTAGAGCAGACTTATTTAGTTCATTAGGCCTACTGTAACTCTGATCAAGTATGGATGCAAACCGCTGGTTGCGGCTGTTGAACTGCAGTGTTCTGATTACAGACATTTGCTATATGCGAAACCTGAGCAATAGAGGCAATGTGGCCGGATAGCCACTGCAGTAGCAAAAGGCTTGAAGGAGAGGCTTATTTCAGCCAAGCCTTTGTATGCCTGGTGCCAAGTTACATCCTACCAGTTTCTCAAGTCATCAGAATCTGACAAGGGTGGCTGTTAAGGTGGTTAATGAACCAACTCAACAGGTTATGGGCTCTGGGTGGCTTTCTTAACCACCCCAACAAACCATCCTTGCAGGAATCAGAGCATGCGATGCTGTCCCCAATGAAGGCAGTTAGGAAAATTTGCTGGCATGCAAGAAGGGTGGATAACCATGAATGTGGCTTATTAACCATCCTCACATCATGTGAACTGGGCCATTATGTTTCTTGCCAGGACTTTTGAGTCCTCTCCTCATCCAAGCTTTCCTAGTGCAGCAACAGATTCTAGACACACCCAGCCCAAAAAGATCTGCACTGTGCATAAATTTTAATTTCCGTGATTTGCAAATAAGTGGGCATGCATGACATGCTAAGCAATTTGGTATCATAAGCCATGCACCATGAAGTTCTGCTTTTGTGTGAAGCTGCATTCATTTTGCATTTCTGTCAACTGCCTTTTATAATGCACTACCTTGGAGTTGGGCCTTGATTCGAAGCAGCACTCGTTGAAGAAGAAAAGTGAAAAATCCTGCCATCAATCGTTCTTCATTTCTTTCTAAAGGGCTCCTTGCATGAAGCCCCAAATGCTGGAACAAAGAAAGAACCCAACATCCAGCATTGGGGCATGGTAGTTCTCCTCCAGCCAGGAAATACAGGAGTAGGACAGGCCTCTAGTTATACCTGGGTATGGAAAAGTATATTTCATCTGACCTTAAGGTCTAAAGATTATCTGGAAAACCAAATGCTGACCATCTGCAATCCTTGTACTAGTATCAATTTTTATACAAACTATGTACAAGTCTCTTTATCAAACTTCTAATGCACAGCCCATGAATTTAGTGTCTTTAACTGTTTAAACCTATAGCAATCCCATTATTTATTTACCAGGCAGCCTCCACTCAATCACTGCAGCCATAAACGATTGATAAATATATTTAGGTAGCAGACACCTCACACATTGCAGCCAGCTCATAAGAGGAGCAGGGAAAGGAAGGAAAAGTTTATACAATCTCAACACTGGACATCACCTCCAATTCATAGTGGTTTGCAGTGGGTTACACATTAAATTACATTCCATTGTGTTCCATCACTTTACATAATCCAAACTCAAAGGCAGGTTCATGCTAACCTAACTCTAGTACGACTGGATGGCCTTTGGCTTTCAAGACCCTGAATTTAGGTTTCTAGGCAACCTCCTAATTCCACTGCAGTTACCCCAGGGTAGACTCTTATCACCCTGGCTTAGATGTACATGAACTTCTGAACTCAGGCTTCCATGTACCCAATGGCCAGAGCGCCATGTAGCAGCAACAACCTCTACCACCACAGTGGCTTGCCCTACACATTTTGCCTAAATGGCTATTTTGGGCTGTCTACATGAAGCACCAGGAAGCAGGAGGGAAGGAGGCTGGGTGCTGCTGGCTTCAGTGTAGATAGGATGGCTTCAGCCTTTCCCTTTCCCCAGCATGCCCCTTTCCTCCTCTCCGAGGAACTTTTCCATGCTTGGAGAGGCAGCTGGCAATGTTCTTTCTGCATTAAATGTAAGGGGGTGGCAACGTGATGCTAGGACTCCAAAGAATCCTACCCCCAACCCCAGCAGGTGATACAAGGAAGCCATAGGATCGCACCATGAATTACTCAATGATTTACTGGGCTTTTATTGTGCAAGAAACATACATCACAGAATTGCAGGAACACATAGCTTGTTAAAGAATGGTGGATTTGCTTTATTTATTTATCCATACTAACAAAGGAAGTATTTGCTTCCTAGTCAACCTTTTTTTAAAAAAATGTAACCAGAACAAGGCAATGCTTTACAAAGAAAGATAGTTACAGCTGCTAATATTGTGAAGTATGAACATTCTCTTATTCTTTGGAGGTGTTCTTTATCAAATGAAAGCTTTAGGGCAAGGAGAAAAATAGATTTTATAAAGCACACAATGTGAAAAATGTACAGACAGAACACAACTCTATACTGCAGAAACAAATTGCACAAACAAGATAGAGAAGATGGGTGTTGAGTACCGATATGATGGAGGTAACACGCACATGAAGGTGAAGGCCAGTTTGTTTGATCCTGTGCCCTTTATGCTATACTGCTAAGGCTGTGATATTTGTGACAATGTACATTTGCTTGGAAATGGGACAAGTAGGCAAGAAGGTAAGCACATCTAGGATTAAGGTAAGAATAGCAGTTTTCCTTTTGGTTACGATCAATGCTTCCACTGCTTTATAACCTACCTCAGATTTTATTTTCAAGAAAAGATACAATACAAAAGGAAAGAAATATGAAACAGGTCACTTAGAAGTTAAAGGATCACTAGCACCATCACCCTTCTGTAGCTACTGGCCTCCTTGAGATCCAGCCCTCCAGTAAATCATTTAAAATTGTTCTGCTATTTGGAACTGGAGAGCTATGCCTACAACCAGCTATTCAAGTTTCAAGGAATGGTTCATTCCTCTTCCCATGTCTACAAATGAGCTTCTTTTAGAATAAAAGGTTATCTGTGTATTACATAATAATGACTATTTGAAAACAAAATCCCAAAATGTCTATTGAACTGATTTTCCTAAATCTGAACTGATTAACTTTACCCCAATAATCTGTGTGGTTTATGAGCATGAATAGAAAATGAAGTGTTTTGATCATATTTTTACAATAATGATATTTACATACTTGCTGCAGCCAAGGGCTCCACTGTAATGTGCATAAACTGCACTGAATGTGGATGGTATGGAGAGCCTGAAAGATGAGGCTTAGCATGGCCAGGAAAGAAAACAAAACCTGTGATCCAGTGGCAAAATAGCTCCACCAATAAGCTGGTCTTGCAGGTCAACTGGACAGCAATAGCTGCAGTTCTAGTAACAGTTTGATTATACCATGCTGACTTACACTGCAGACACAGTCCACTAGATGATCATTCACAGAATGGTTTTGAGTGCTTTCATTCGGACATTCTAAATATTCAGTTGTGAAAAAGAAAAGTGGTTTACAGCTTGTGGTTCCTCTAAGCTACTGCTGGACAGCTCACTTAAAGCTTCTCCTTCATTGGCAGCAAAACTGAGGTAATTATTGATGCGGCTCAACAGGCCCCTTTCTATTTCTTCCCACCAGCACCACCAGTGGCTTCCTTGTTGAGCCCTCGGATTGACAGGTCATACACCACCTCCTCTATCTTCTTGACGTCATACTTGAGGCCATCATAGCGTTTCCTCAGGGAATCGTTCTTCAAATTGAGAAGACGGAATCCAGAATCCAACTCATTGATGAAAGCAGAGATGCGAAGTGGGCGTGAATAGTCCCCAGCAGTGACACTATTCACGGCAAGTCTGGACTATTGGGGAAGACAGGATGACATTTAAGTAGGGATGCAACAGCCAAGTCAGACCAGGTACACCTCACTAATGCACACACTAAGTTTCACACCTAAGATATGACTACATTGTCCTCCTTTGAGATTTCATGTTTTGTAATATTTATATAAGCTTTGAGAACATCTCTGATGAAGTCCCAATCCTGAAGATCTTTACCTTTTGTAAAGTACTGTGCCACCAACAGCATAAAGCGTGTCTTTTAGACAATAGAGCTCAACTAGCAACTTCAAAAAACCAACAAATTTGGGGCTGTAACTTCCAGCTTCCTCCACACATCCTAGTGCCATTCCTCCAGCTAGGTCAGTATTGCTGTCCAGTCTCGAAACCTTTAATACTCTTTACTTACCAGCTCACTGGCAAGAGTTAATACACCAGAAAGGTAATCCTCAATATCCAGGTGAAAACCTCTCTCTCTGTCTGCTTCAACTGCAAAAGAAAAGAACAAAGTTAAACTCGATTCCAGTGATACTGATGGCAAACCAGACCGGCTATTACCTCAACAGATGGAGGGCCCAGTTTTATACCCCAATCTGCTGATGCACATAAGTCTCTGAATGCAGAGGCTTATGTACACCATATGCCCAGAATGAGAAGTGGTGACAGCAATTTTTGCCACCTTTCACACTAGGTATTTTATCTGGACTACCATTTCAGTCTTCTAAATAAAGTATCAGGAAGAAAAGGGACTAAAGCCTGGGGCACTGATATTAATCTGTGCGTGCCCTTGACTGCAGCCTCCTCCTCTTCCGACTCCAGCAAACTCCCTTTTATTCCTCTGAGGCTCAAGCTGCCTTTTGGGGGCTGTGCAGCAAGCATGGCTCTCCTCGCACTGGCTGCAAGTGAGGTGGGCAGTTCCTCAGCCCCGAGATTGCAGGATCTGGGAGCGAGAATTCTAAATATTCCTCTGATATCCCAGACACAATGTCAGATTGCTTCCAAAAAAAGTAGAATTTACTATGGCAGTTCAGGTTAAGCCTTGCTCTTTGGCCACTCATCTCAGATACATCTCTGAGCATGACATCGAGAGGGTCACACCTCAGTAGCAGAATGCTTTTTATTTTTGGCAGACAGAAAACCCCGTATTCAAGTCTCAGCATCCAGTTCAAGGATTTCAGATGCAGGACTAAGAAAGATACCTCTGTCTGAGATCCTGAAGAGTCACTGGCATTCAAAGAAGGTATCAGCCATCCAGTAATAGACATAACTTCAATCCTAGACAGGCTTACTAGGGGTCAGCCTCATTAAACACAGAATGATTTCTTCCAAGTAAATTTGCATAAGATGGCGCTACAAATGAACCAAAGGTCCAAGTCAGTGCAGAAGTTTCATACAATTAATTTGGCAAGTTACATCCAATTTTTCTCCTATGCTTTCCTAAAAAACTTTACAGCTCTCAAAATGGTGAATGAATGGACTCCTTATTTTCTAAGTTACTCATTTTATAATAAAGGAGGGAAACACTGTATTTATTTATTTATTTCCTTTTTTTTAATTAAGAAAAGAATTTTGTTTTTATGCTATTGATAATATTATATTGTTATTTATATTGGAATTTTTATTCTTGTAAGCCATCCCGTTGCTGCTGCAAAGGACGGCATATAAATGTTATAAATAAATAAATAAATAAATAAATAAATAAACAAGCAGAGCTGAAGCAGAAGTCTAGCTTTTATTACAGCTTTAAGACTTATCAGAAGTCTTCAGAACTAGGTAAAGCAGAATTACATGTACAAGCTTTTCAGAACTCCAATTTGCATCAGTGTGAGTTTCCTAAACATGTAGCTTTGCTACATTAATAAAGCTCAAATGCACTGTACAAACAATTACTTACTTCCAAGTATTTCTGTAACAGCTTCCCGAGTCACTAAAGTTTCTGTCTCCAAGTAGACAACAAATGCTGCTAAAAATACCAAACGCTGCAGCACAAACCTCCAATGTTCGTGGAATCTGCATGGAAACCAACAAGATCAGTCAAGGACAGGTTTCCCACCAGAGTTTTGAAATTAGCAGTCACATATCAGGGTGAAGGAGGTAAGGTTGAGAATTCAGCGGTTTTATAACCAAGCACAGCAAAAATGCAAACATTGCACTTGTATCCGATCCTTGTATCCAGGGAACAAAGGCAGGTTAGATGGAATGCAAGCTAATGTCTGGCTCAAGTCAACCAGCCAGTTTGAAGGTCAAGAAGACCTTTGAGAGCCTGTGCAGTTTGGTGGGTTTTTTTAAAAACATTTTTATGGTTAAGAGCATGGGATGGGGACTCAGGCAGCCTGGGTTCTAGTCTCTGCTTGGCATGGAGCCAGTCGCAGAATCTCAGGCCAACCTACTTCACAGGGTTGTTGTTGTGGGGATAAGACTGAGAGGAAGAGGAGGAAAATGGTGTAAGCTGCTTGGAGTTCTTTGTAAGAAAAAAGTGGGACATAAATCTAATAAATAAATACATTTGAACTTAGATTTCCTTGGTTCAAATCTAGCACAACTTGTGACATCACATTGCCTTCCTATTCAGACTAATAGGCATATGACTAGAACAAAAAACTCCAGCTTTTCCCATTACTGCCCTCCCTGCAGAACTGGGATCTAAATTACTGTAGTGTGGGTGTGTGCAGAATGAGCAGATCATTTAACTAAACTGTAATTCCTAGCCAAATAAATGTTATTAATTGTCCTCCTAGGAAACTCCTTATTTGCATTGTCTAGTCTGAAACTTAGAAAGCAATGGCATCCAATGAGACTGCACTGAACTGAATAGGGAAGGTGGGATTTTACTAACCTATAATATTGATCCGCAGGAAACTTGATTTTCAAAGAGGCTAGCTGTGTTTTAACAGTACAAAAGTGTTCACGAGCCTTCAGACACTTCTTTGGTACTGAAATTAAAAAGAAATGAATGATATACTCAATGAAGAAAAATATAAGGTAGACATAATTTTCACAAATAATACCTTGAGAAAAAGCAATAATCATTAGCACTGTAGCACATTAAAGAAAAACATTTATTGGACTAGATCCAGATCATGCCAGTTTCATTGAAATCAATAGCTTTAACTAATACAAGTAAATAAATTAGTTATGACTAACATGGATTCAATTTATTATTGGATCCAAGGTAACCTGGATTAGAACACTTTGTGCTACTTAATCATTATTTGACTGGTCAGCTAAAACATCCACACTGGTCAGCTAAAACATCCAATATCTAACAACTGAGGGATCTTATTTAGCATTATAGTGTACAGTTTGCAGAATTAAATTTCCCTGCATTTCCAACTCTCAAAAAACAAATACCAGGCCGTAATGAAGACTACAAACCAACAAATCTTGACTTACTGTCCTGAAATCCAGAACCTTGATGGACTCCTTGTAGCACTGTAAGAATTTCCCGAGCTGTTTGCTCCAGAGTTTGAACAACTTTCCTGATCTCCTGTAAGCAACAACAAAACACTCAGACAAATGTGCACACTGACCTCAAATGATACAATTGTGACTCTAGGAAACTGTTGTGGCACCTTACATGGTTAACAAATTTACTGTGGCATATGCTTTTTGTGGACTGCAGTCTATTTGAACAGATGCATGACGTATTGCTCAATGTTACAGGCATCTAAATACACATAGTGGTGACAGTTATCAAGTATATGATATTAATTTATATTTGATAGGTAATCATATTCATGTGATTGGCTCTTTTATTCTCCATTAGGGATGCCCATTTCATCAGAATCTATAGAACTAACAAGAAAATGGAGATCAATTCGTTCCTCTGCGGGCTGCTAAGGAATTCATGAAACTGTGGAACAGGGAGTGCATTAGATTTTCTTGTACATATAGTCAAAGCACATCTACAGGATTCAATTAAATAGTTTAGTTCTCACAGTTCTCAGTACTCCCCAAACTGTTAGTTTGGGTGGACCCTAAAAAGTGAGTCAAATATTACTTATTCCTTCCCAGATGAAGTTTCCTTGAAAGAAGGGGAAGGAGATGCCACAACAGTAAAGCATTTTTACCTTAGCAGCCTTGAAATACTACATCACTTCTACACAGATCTAAGAAGACTGAGAATAGGATAGCAAAGAAGTCTATGGAGCCATCCTAGGTCCAGTATGACCGATACACCAGAGTTAATTCTGCCAAAGACATCTGTTAGAGCAACAATTGATTACATTTCTAATGCCAATTGTTCCTCATCCAACAGTTGTAATACCAAGCTGTTCCAAGACTTCAAGACATATCAAAGCAGCTCTGTATATAAAACCTATAACATGCCATGATATCATCACATTTAAGAACTGCACAGAATGCTTTTTCTGGAAGCCACTTCTACAACTTCAAAAAAGTTGACATACCAATCATTTGGTTAAAACCCTCATGACAACTTGGTGTCCTGTAAGCAAATAATGTAATCAACGTGATAATGTGTGTGCAACTACTTTTGAAACATATACCTAAAAGCATACAATATGAATGTGCCAAACATGCCTCATAAAAATATGCTTACTGGGGACTTATGATCAGCTTTCCTGTTGCTCAGTGGTTTGCCTTGTTGTAATCTGGCCCCAAATGTACTGGATTAGGGTCCCTGCTTACCCTTAACCCTTAGCAAACTGCAACCCCCTAATTTCATGTTAACAAAGCAGGCACAATGTGGAAGTGTCTGAGCAGAGGAGTTGTGTATTCTAAGACTGAATTATCAAATGTAAACTACTTTGTAAAGGCCCACAAATATTTACTGGTCTGCAACTGTTTGGCCAATACCTCCGAGTGGAATGAATCCTGTCCTAAAATGGGTTGCAACAGTGGCTTCTTTGTCATTTTCTTTCATTTGCTTACTTTCTACGTTTATTTCGAGAAAACGAGAGAGCAGACAACCAGAAGCGAAGAAGGGCAAGCCCCGTGTACTTTTAACGACTATGCCCAAGAGCAAATTTCAGTAAGTGAAGCTTTTCTCGCCCCTAAAGGACGAGCAGTATCTACCCCAATCTGTTTTCCTGTGCAGCTATGAAAATGGTCAAGAGCCACATCTGGGCACTATGGCGACTTTTCTTCGTTCTTTACGGGAACCGAGTCGTGCAGTCATTACCAGCGGAGAACAACGACGGGTCTAGCCCCCGCGACCTGCAGCCGAGCGAGGCAGCGACGCCGCCTGCCCGCCCGCCCACCCAAACCCCCGCTTCCAGGCAGGGAGGTTGCCTGTTCTTCGGCCGACCCGCTCTCACCTCGCGAATATCCTGGTCGGCCGTAAGCACTCCTTGCAAGGTGATAAACATCTCACTGACAGACATGATGACGGGGAGCAGGTCTGCGGCCCGCTCTCGGAACTCCCGCCGCGCTCGCTGCCGCCAAAGAAATGGGTCCTTCCACGCGGCCGTCGCGGGGCTGCCCGGCGTATTGCCGCTTGAGAAAGCGGCACGGAGGCGCAGCCAGTGGAAGCCAAGAAGGGATGGGGCTCTCTCCAATAACCGGGAAGAGCTGCTCGTCCTGTGCAGTCATACGAGGCTCTCTGCTCGATTCCCGCGCCCCCCGTAAACAAATCTGTAGGGGAATCCAATGCTTATTTACTCAGCCCCAGTAACAGTAATCTCCTACGTGGAGAGACTGAAGCCTTGGAAAGCCCAAGGGGGCTTTTGAGACAATCCTTTGACTCGTGCTTTAGGCGACCGTCCCATATAAGTATACTCAGACATATGCCGCAATGAATTTAGTAGGCTACCCCCGGGTAAACGTGCGCGGGATGGCTGCCGGAAACGCACACATTCGCAGCGGGCGGGCGGGCGCCTGGATCTGCGTGCGCCGAGAAGCTTCCGGGGTTAAAGCCGAGCTGCAGTTCGGGGCACGCGGACAGGCCAGGAGGGGATTTGCCCTGCGCCCCCGGCCAGCCCTCCTCGGGCCCTGCCACATGGGCTTGGCTGCGAGCGGGCTCCTCGCCCCTCAAGATGGCTGCTCTGCCTTGGGTCCGTTTTCCACTAACGCAGAGCCGCCGACGAGAGCCCCGCCCTGAGCCCGAGACTCGCTGCTGTCTCGTGCGCGGGCTCCGCCGCGCCGCCAGAAGGCCGAAGGCCGGGGTCCTTCCTCGCTCTCGGCGCGGGCTGCTCTTTTGCCCTGACTGCAGGAAATGCAGCCTAGCGCTCCGAGCCTGAAGCCAGAGCTAACCCAAAAGAAATGCCCACTGAAATGCAGGGCAGAGATAGAAATCAGTGCGTAGTAGAGAAAGAGCCTGGGATGCGGGCGTGACGTTCTTGACGGGCCAAGAGAAAGGAGTGTGGGCACGCACTGCCACCTGGGCTGTGGAGGGCGCCTGCGAGCTGCGTACTGCAGGGGCAGCGGGAGGGAGGGAGAGGGCAACCTCCTGGCTAAACGACTGACAGAGAGGTACTGGAAAGCTGCGCAGACCCAAGCGGGTGATAATGTGTATCTGTGAGCAATGAAAGTAGGGACGTGTAGCTGGGAGGATATCCGCCGGCTTTCTGAGCATCACGCTGCGGATAGACCCAAGAGCACCCTTAACTGGAATTTTTTTGCTGAGCTGGCAAGCGTCCCAGTGTCTTCCAGCAGGAGGAGGACGGACGGGGGTGCCTGTTTTATGAGCATTCAGCCACTGCAAGGTTGCACCCTCCCCGCTGCCCCAAGCCCCTCCAATTGTGTGGGCTGGGCGCTTGCTTTACCCTTAAAAGCTGATGGTCTCAGGAATGGGCTTTCCGTGCATCATGCTCTGACTGGCCAGCCAAGCCTTGTGCGTAACAGCTTGCCTAGGAGCCATAGGTGGCCAGGAATCCCACGCAGGTGAATGCTAGAACGCCCCGTGGGCGAGTTGAGTGGGCTGCAAGGAAGCTAGTAACTTTGGCGAGCATGATTCCAAAGCAGGCCCCACCCGGATTAAGGCACGTTTGGGAGTTCTTAATTGTCACTGGGTTATCGTGAGACTACACCCTAGATCCAGCTACACTGTTATTACCACAGATTTATAACAATATTAGAGAAGCTATGTAAATGTGTAGCATTAGCATCTTCCAAGTTAATGGACTTCCTTGTGTGTGAAATAAGATTTTCTTTTGATGTCTCCTGATACCACTGTAGCGTCTTATACTAGTAAACTGGGATAATCTTATGTATCTGATTACAATTGCTACAGTGTGCTTGCTGTTCTTTTATTTCATCTTGCAAAGCCAACATGCAGAACTGCAAAATACTATATCAGAAAGAACTTGCTTGTTTGTTTATAACTAGTAGATAATACAAGTGTATTTAAAAAGCTGCATGGGATCAGAAATCACTCTACCAGTCCATTCAAGCAATATAAAATATATTAATGAAAACATGAGCAAAAACACTCATCTTCAGCATCCCTTGTAATGATTTTTTAGTTTTATTTTCCAGATTTTAAAGATGACCACATTAACATATTTTATACTGCTTGAATAGAAAAGAAATTGAGCTATTTTTGGAAAACATTCACCCATGGTTGAAATAAAGAAGATGCAAGAAGATACAGTGACATCTGTATATGAAAAATGCTACCTCATTTATGGGCTTTGTGTGTTGGAAGAAGTAATATATCCACCGACTAACTCTGAATGTCTGTAAGTTCTAAATTTCTATGGTTAAAGGGCATGGTAGCCAAACTATACAAATGTTTGGTTAATTGTGGGTCATCTGAAGCTTTAAAAGCTGACTGGGAAGTGGATTTATGGATGCTGATAAAAAATTCTCTTTGGAATAGATATTTTATTTGTGGATCGGGCTATGGAAATTGTCTTTCAAAATACTTCCTTATTAGCATTTAACACCAGTTAAAGATTTTTTGTTTTTTTGTGGTTTTTTTAATCTTCAAAATGATTACAAATAAATGTTGAAAATAATTCTTAAGGAATTGTACACTCGTTCACACATGGTGACCATGTCTTCTGATAGAGACATTTCAGGATAAGATCTTCACAGAAAACAAATTAAAATATGATCAAACAAAATATTATGGAGATTCCAATAAGTGTGATTCCAGCTATTTTCTTAAAGGCCTTGCAGTCTACATTGCATAAATACATTTATTCTCTCTAACAATAGCAAGAACAAAGCAACAGCCTATCCAAAAAGTCCAAAGGTAGTTAATAATGAACCAAATTATCCTCCACATGCATTATGGTACTTGTGCAATGTCAGACATGTATCCCAGATTCCTCCCATGTTCCCCAAATGTAATATTTTACCAATCTACTCAAAATAATTGCAGCTTAAATAAGTGATTCGGTATTCTGTCTATCTTAATTAAATTGCTTGCACTTGCATGCTTTCTTTGAATTCTTCAAGTTAGATTTAGCACTAGTTCATTATATGGAACATTTTTATATAAATATTTTTTAAAAAACAAGTGCTATTTATACAGAATTTTGTTCTGTGTTCAGTTCAGTGAGCACTAATAGTGGAGCTGTAAAATTTCCCCATATGAAGGCCCATCAAAACCTCTAACCACAACTTGTATCAGCTCTTGCATGTTTCTGGGAAGGAAGCTGCACTGATTCTAGCTGGATGGAGCAATCCTGTGGCTCCTAGACAGTGCCTGGGGGTTATAGCGTTCTTTGGATTACAGATCCAAGGTGGAAGGCAGACATCCAGACTCATAGGTGGGAAACTATTCCATGGCACCCCTTCTGCAGGCATAGAAAGAAGCACACTAGCTGACTCTCCAAGGTTGGGAACTCAGTCCTGGAAAAAGGATAAAGGGAACATTCGAGGGGGAGGGGAGAGGAGGGGAGGGGATGAGTGTCCAGGTAGTGAAAATGGATGTCTAGTGAAAATGCAGAGTGGGAGGGGAGAAGATGGCCTCTATTGCTCCTCTGACCTGCATTGGACTGCTGTGAGCCTCTGAGACTGACAATCATATGTTTGTGATTATGCCCTAGAGACATACTGCCAATTACATGATTGATTGATGAATTTTTTTCAACTCAGATCGCAGTTGAATGTGTTGCACCTAGTATCCAAACAGGCCATCCCAGCCCCCAGGGAAACACCAAAGGGCTGGCTTTCTTTATAGACATAATTCACTGCAGATGTGCTGGTGTTATGTAGTTAGGCCACTAGTTCACCATCTTCAAATTTAAAGCAAGCTGACAGTTCCATGTAACAAAAAGATACCATTACATAAACGTTATGTTTTAAGAAATCTACATAGCCAAGCAGAAAAAGATCTGAAATTTTGTTCTTTATTTCTATAGGGCCTAATGTGCACATTTAAGTTTTTAAAGCTTTAAGTTTAGGAACAAAATTGTTTCTGCACAACATTACTGTATACTTCAAAAATATGTGTTGTCTCATAAATGATACTGCTGTTTTAAGAAAATTGTTCTAATAATAATTGTGTATTTTATGATATAGCTGAATTCTACAAATCTCTAACTGCAAGGGTGTTATCACAGGACCTTCTCCATTCAATTAATCATTTGATACACTGCTATGAAGCTAATTCATTTGCTCAAGGCCTTTTTGTACACGTTTATTCTTTTCAATCCACATTTGTCTTCTGTTTGTACCATATTTTGCAGAAGCAGTACATTTGCTTCAAGAATTCTATTTTATTCAGTGAAATAATACAGTTTATACTGGGGAAAATGGGATAAATCTCAATAGTGTGCTCATAGATTTTGGAATAGCAATGAACAGTACAAGTGTGTGAGTGTCACTGGTACGTCATGAGAATAATTTCTCAATGGGTGGAAACCAGACTTCCCATGATTGAAGAGCTACACACATGGCATTCCAGCGAAGAAGGGGCAGAAGGCAATTCCAGTTGTTCTTCCTGCAGCCCCCACTATTATCTCCCACGTTTTTCTAGAGCATCCTTCAACCTTCTGGAGCATCTTTTGCAGAGAACTAGAAGTGAAGGGGAAAATCAGGAAATTACTTCTTCACCTCTTCCTCCAGGAGCAGCTTCTGTTGGATCCTAGGCCTTTCTGGGAACACAATACTTATCTATTTAAGTGAATAACTAGACAGAGCTCTCTTAGCAGCAAACAACAACATACAAGAACATTACAATTCCCAGTTACCAAAAAGAAACCCCAAAAAACCAACAGCCAACTGCTGGTGATAGATAGATATGCACACAATATATTATAAAAAGTTGTGTGCTTCAAAATCTCACTGTTGTGGTGCTGGATGTACTTTTCTAGTCGCCTCATTTAAGTTGTTCATTCATCATTGTTTCCAAATACTTTCTCCCTCTTAGTTGGATTTTGTAATGCCAAAGTGCTTATACAGAATTATTTTTTGGAATGATCAGGCCTTGACATGGGTTCCCTCTCTTTATTTGGTTTATGATTCTTTTGTTCTTGTGTCCAGCCTACACCATTAATCTTTTGGGACACAACATTATCTTTCTCTTGAAGAGACTGCAT